CAATCTCCCATTTCTGTTACCCTTAACCTAGCCTAGCCCTCCATTGTCTTACCTCCCTATGACCCCAAGCCACTTCCCACCCTTAATCCTATCTAGGCTCCATTCTCCTTGGTGGTGGGACCTGGACCACCACCCTGGAGTTCTATTACCTCATAGACTACTTGGCCACTTCTAGATCCCTCTCATAGTCTTTCTGTATATTAGGCCCATCTTGTCTCCATTAAGATGCTCAGATTCTCACAATCTAACCATTGGCTCAGATTCTTATAATCTAGCCATTGCTCAGATTCTTATAATCTAGCCACGGGCTCTGATTCTTATAATCTAGGTACTGCTCAGATTTTTACAATCTAGCCAATAGCTCACAGGTACTCAGATTCCTTAAGAGTCTGGCCAATATGGTGGATCTTTAATAAACCTTGTCTTTGGCTGAAGGAAGGCTTGGGTTGAATTCTTTTGGGCAGGACCCATGTGTCATGATATCGGGGTCTCAGCACCCCTAAACCTCTAGACCTCATCACCATGACATGTTATCTCCTATTACCATGAAGCATAAGCTCCTTAAACAGCTAAGTGATGGATACGCTCTATACAAGCATCATGGCATGATAGAAAGAGAATCGATCTTGTGGTCTAAAGACCTGAGCTTGAGGACTGCTTCTGGTACTACTCACCTGTGTGACACTGACCTATGATAGCTACTCATTTCATATCTCTAAACCTCAGTGTCCCTTTCTATAATGTGTGGATAATAACACCTGCCATATGTAATTTGCAAAAAGGCACATTTATGCTGGTTGTCAGCTAAATCTTCCTAGTAATTACAGCTCTGTTGAAATAGACTGAACAGTCCTGTGTGGTTGAACTGGATGGTCATTTATTGGTATGTTTTGTGGGAATTCTTATTCAGGTCTGAGTTAGATGGCTGCTGAGGGCACTTCCAACACAACTGGGAAGGTTGTGTAAAAGGCACTTTATCAACTTTAAAGCACTAAATAGAAGGGAACTATTATTGCTACATCAACAACAGTCAGCATGCCCTCATCACCTCCATCTTTCAAAAAGAACCCACTATTTGTTTTATCTTTCTATCTGAAAGATGGTGTAGTAGGAGTCCTGTCTTGAACTGTTTGTGATTCAAGGGGAACACTTTGAACTCTATTGAACTTGTATTCAAAGACTTTAGGCAATAGATAGTTGTCCCTTACTTTTCTCTTTGTCCAGTACACTACATTTTGGAGATTTTTGTATTTCTATTTTCACATCTGCCTTCCTCTGCTGCTCTTGAATGTTTGTTCCCCAACAGCATCTCTCATTCTGCCAATTCAACAGATCACCACTGGCTTTTAGTCCTCTCGTCTTTGCCAACAGAGAATCACAGAGTTGGAGACAAGCGTGAAGGCTATCAGATTCAATTTGTCTCTTAAAACGAAACCCCTTGATAACATAGCAGATGAGATGTTCATGAATTCTTTGCTCAAATAGCTCCAATGGGGGAAAACACCTTTTTTTTCGCAAGGAGACCTTTCCCACTTAGGCATAACATTAGCTCCTTGGGATATTACTCTTTTTTTTTTCCTGCTCACATTATGCCTAAATTTGCCTTCTCTGTAATATCTATCTGTTGCCCTCTGGGCCCTTCTACCCATCTAACCCAGTTATGCTCTCTGAAACCACAAAGAAAAAGCCAGGTATCAGTTTTCCATGTGAGGTCATGGAGAATCTCCCAGCCCCTATAAGTCCTTAACCCTCTCCATACAAGATAATTGACTCTTTGATTTAAAATTAGCCATCATAAGTTGCTTCTCTCAGTTAAGGGATGACTTCTCCAGTGATAGTCCACTTGACTCTGATTCATATCCATAGAGCCCTGCTACAATATTGTGAGAGGCTATGAGAAAGTACAAGTGATGGGAGCAAAGGTGCTAGCCATGTATTGCCATAATCTATGCATTTACTTCAAAACATTGCTTTAAGAAACAGGAGGATTAAAAAAAAATACCTTTTTCATAAGCCCACATCAAACAAGTCTGCTCATCTTTTTCACCACTTGACCTGCTGGGATCACAGGCTACCAGATTCATATCAGCTCCATTATCCAGTAAGAACTGCACTAGGCGAATGTGTCCATGGTAGCAAGCAGAGTGTAATCCTATGGGGGATGGGGGGAGGAAGAGAAAAGCAAGAAAATCAAACATCAACCCCTGACTGCCACAAAGACAATGGTTTGCCTGTAATAGGATTGTAGTAAGAGCTGTAAAGTGAGCATTGATTTCTTTGATAAAGAATCCATCCTATATATGGGGCCAAAGCTACAATGTCATAAGCAGACACTGTTTTCTCTGACAGCCAATCCACTTCTTTGCTTTACTGTAATTTCTAGACATGGATTGTAATTACCACCAACTCAACTTAGCAGCTTTAGGAGAATTGAGGAAGGAAGACCTCCAGAATGGCTCGTTTCTCTGGATTTGACAAGTGACAGCAAAGGAAGATGACTGTTAATTATATTGCACTCTTACCAGTGTGCCCATCTCTTCCTTGATGATTGATGCTTACGATGTTTTGGTCAAGAAGAAATTTAACCAGTTCAATACTCTTGCCATAGGTACAAGCACTGTGAAAACACAAGACACTGGGAATGAATGTCGTGGTTTGCTCAAATGGAAGATCCCGATTATTCTCAGATGTGGACAGGATATCTGGAATATAGCAGGGTCACCAACAGTCTCTCTTTCTGGAAACTCACTCAGTGTCTCTATCTGAAATATCCTGAGATCACATTACAGGTTTCAGTGGTCATATCACAGAGCTGAATTCCATTGAGGTTGAAGTTCCTTAAATTTTAATTCCTTAATTTTTTCTCAGATTGTCTCTAGCCCTAGCTCCCTATCTTGGGCATATGTAGCTATTTTTTTAATGTGTAGGACTTTACATTAATCCATATTAAATTTCATCTTGTTTGATTTGGCCCAATTTCTATCTTATTGGTAACTTTTTGAGTCCAGATTTTATTATCTAATATGTCCAATTTGGCATATACATCATTAATGGATTCATCCAAGCTATTGATAAAATGGAGAACACCAGAACACAAGGACAGGTCATTGGGCACACTACTTAAGAACTGCAGGAATGCATCAGTCCAGTAGTTCCACTCTTTTGAGGATAAATGTTAAAAGGAGGAAATTTTAATTTTAATATAAGGAAGAACTTCCTAACAATTGGGGCTTTCCAAAAATAGAATCACTTGCATCAGGAAGAAGCAGGATCTCCTTTCCTGGAGGTCTTCCAACAAAGGTCAGAGGATCACTTATCAGGTATACTGTCTCAGGGATCTTTTGTCATCGAGGTTTTGAACTAGATGGCTCTGAAGTCCCTTGCAAAGCCAAGATTCTGTGACTTTGGGTAACACCATTCAACTAGCTCCAAATCCACTCAATTTTACTATCATGTGATGTATATCTTTCTGTCTTGTTCTGGGCACCATCTTTTTGGCAGAGCATTGGCAGAATTAAGTGCATTTATAGGGTAAGTATGTTAGGGAGAGGACTAGATATGATGCCAAATAAGGATCGTTTGAAGAAATTAGAGATGTTTAGCCAAGAGAAGAGGAGACTTATCTCAGGAATATGGTGGGGGGGAACCCATGATAATTGCCTTCGAATATTTGAGTCCCATTATGTGGAATCAGTTGCTTAATATAAATTTATTTAGCACCTGCAAACTGATTCAGTATCTCTGCCAAGAAGACCCCAAAGGGTCACAAAGAGTCAGACACAACAGAAAAAGAACTAAATACCAACAAAAATGGTCCAGACACCGTGTTAAGCATTGGGGATATAAATGCTAGCAAATATAGTCCCTGTTCTCAAGGAGTTCACAATTGGGATGTAGTGAGGATGATATATATGTAAAAAACAAAAATAAAAAAAGAATGTACAAACAAGCTACATACAAGATAAATTAGAGATAATGAAAAGAATGAAGGCATTAGCATTAAGGGGAATGAGGAAAATCAGGAAAGCCTTCTTGTAGAAGGTGGGAAGGAAATCAAGGAAGCTAGGAAAAGGAGGTGAGGAGGGAGAGAATTCCAGGCATGAGAGGCATCTAATGAAAAGGCCCAGAGTTGAAAGATGGTATGCCTTATGTGAAGCCAGTGTTACTGAATCACAGAATATGTGGAGTTGAGCAGGCTATAAGAAGACTGGAATGGTAAAATGGGGTCAGGTTTTGAAGGGCTTTAAAAGTCAGATAGAAGATGTTATATTTGATGCTTGAGACAATATGGCACCACTCAAATTTTTAAGTAGCAGTGATTTGGGAAAATCGCTTTGATAGCTGCCTGAAGGATGGACTGAAATGGGGAGAAGCCTGAAGCAGAGAGACCAATCCTCAGGCTCTCATCATGGTCCAATTGTAAATGAATGAAGGTCTATGACAGGGTAGTAGCAGTTTAAGAAGAGACAAGGTGGTATATTTGAGAAATGTTGCAAAGTGAAATCAACAGTACTTGGTGAGTGATTGGATACTGAGAGTGAGAGGATATGAAGAGTTGAGGATGACCCTAAAGTTGTGAGTCTGGGTGACTATAGGAGGATGATGGCACCCTCAACAGAAATAAGGAAGTTAGGAGGAAGTGGGGTCTTTGGGAAAAAAAATATAATGAGTTCACTTTTAAACATGCTGAATTTGAGATGTCCAAGGGACACTAGGTTTGAGATGCCCAATAGGTAGGTGGTGATGCAAAACTGGAGGTCAGGAGAGAGGTTAGGGCTGGAAAAGTAGATTTGAGAATCATCACCATAGACATAACAGTTGAATTCATGGGAGCTGATGAGATCACTGAGTAAACTAGTCAAGAGGAAAAAGGGAAGAGGGCCTAGGGCAGATGGAGTAGACTTCTCTTTCTTGGTCTCAGGAGCAATAACTGGAATTAACAGAGAAATCAATAGAACTTTGAAGTTCAGAAAAATCTTCCTAATAATTAAAGCTGTCCCTGACTTGAAGTGCTGGCATCCAGATGCTGTGTGTTACTCTTGATTGGAGCTCTTCAATGTAAATCTAGCTGAAAGACTAATGGTTCAGGGATGTTTTAGAGGGGATTTCTATTGAGATATATGGACTAGATGACATCTGAGATGCTTTTAAACTGTAGAATTCTGGGAATCTCATTAATTATGAGCTCCTCAAAGGCAGGGGCTATCTTCTGCTTTTCTTTGCATCCCGAGTGCTTAGTTGTGTGCCCGGCACATAGTACACACAATAAATGCTTATTGCTGGACTAAATGACTGAAGTTTTGTCACCCACAAAACTAGGGTGAATGCACTCTTGTTCATGAGCCAACTGTATGCATAGAATAGCATGTGTGACTGCTACTCAAACAGCCAAAAGATTCTTATGCCAGACCTTCAGAAAAATGGTGGAAGATTTCTAGGATTTTGTTACCAAGTATTTTTTTGGCAAATATATTCATATTTATTCCATTTTTTTTTCTAGAGGGGAAAATCATGGTAAGAGTTTCTTTTCTAACATTTTTTTACTTTTTACATACAGGACCTACCTGGATATTTGAAGTAAAGTAGAAGAATTCAAGGAAGCTCCCTAGGGTTCCAGCCAACTCCAATTGCTCCAGCCTGCTATCTTTCTCTGAATACATACATACACCCTCCCACCAGTGAATATGGCCACAGAGTTTTCATTAGATGAGAATACTTGAAAATATTCTTTCAAGGGACAGTCAAGGTAGACCATAGACCTCAAAAGCAGGGGTAATAATGTAGGTAAGCCTGCATACTGCCCTGGTCACCTAGAAGAATGATAACTCTAATTAATCCACCAACCTCCCAATCAGTACCAGAACCAAATGGTAACATAAATTTCAAAATCAAGAAATAGGGTGGAAAAATGAGCAAACAGAAAAATAGATAGATAGATAGATAAAATAACCATAAAAAAAGCTACTATGGTGACAGGGAAGAGCAATACACAAACCCAGAAGAAGACAATGAAGTCAAAATAGCTACAAGCAAAGCATCAAAGAAAAATGTGAATTGGACACAAACCCAACCAGAATTCCTGGACCTAAAAATGATTTTCAAAACGAAATAAGAATGGTAGAATACAAATTAGGTAAAGAAAAAGGAAGAAAATTATGAAAAGACAACAATTTGGTAAAAGAGTTGCAAACATATGAAGAAAATAATACCTTGAAAAATAGAATTGGCCAAAAAAAAAGAGGTAAAAAAAATTCAGTGATGAAAATAACTTTTTAAAAAGCAGAATTAGCTAAATGGGAAAAAGAGGTACAAAAGCTCACTGAACAGAATGACTCCTTAAAAATCAAAATTGGGCAGGTATAAGTTAATGACTCTGTGAGACATCAAGAAACAATAAAACAAAGTCAAAAGAATGAAAAATTTGAAAATAATGTGAAATATCTCTTGGAGAAAATAATTACCTAGAAAATAGACTGAAGAGAAATAATTTAAGAATTATTGGACTACCTAAAAGCCATGATCAAAGAAAGAGTCTAGACATCATATTTTAAGGAAAATGCACTGATATCCTAGAACAAGAGAGTAAAATGACATTAAAAGAATCCACCAATCACCAACTGAAAGAGATTTCAAAATGAAAACTCCCAGGAATATTATAGCCAAATTGCAGAGCTCCTGGGTCAAAGAGAAAATATCTCAAGCAGTCATGATAAAAAGAGATAAAGATAAATGGAGGAAAATAGGATGAAGGGAAATGAACAGTTAGTAATCATAAGTGAATGTGAATAGGATGAACTCACCCATAAAACAGAAGTGGATAATAGAATTTATTAGAAATAAAAATCCAACAATATGCTACTTACAAGAAATACACTTGAAACATAGAGACACACAGAGTTAACTAAGGGTCTAATGCAGAATCTATTATGCTTCAACTGAAGTTTAAAAAAGTCAGGAGTAACAATCATGATTTCAGACAGAGCAAAAGCAAAAACATACCTAATTAAAAAGGATAAGCAGGGAAACTATATCTTGCTAAAATGAACCATAGACAATGAAGTAATATCAATAATGAACATATATGCACCAAATGAAATAGCATCCAAATTCTTAAGGGAAAACTTGAATGAATCACAGGAGGAAATAGTAAAACTATACAAATGGGGGAACTCCACTTTCTCCTCTTGGAGCTAGATAAATCTAATCATAAAGTAAATAAAAAAGAAGTCAAGAAAATGAATAAAATTTCAGAAAATTTACATATAATACAACTCTGGACAAAATTGAAAGGGAAGAGAAGGGATTATATCTTTTTTCTCAGCTGTATAGGGAACCGTCACAAAAAAGTGACCATGCATTAGGGCATAAAAGCCGCACAACCAAATACAGAAAAGCAAAAAATATTAAATGAACCTTTTCCGCACCATAATACAATAAAACTACATTTAAAAAGGGCCATGGAAGTATAGATTAAAAATTAATTTGAAACTAAATAATCTGATTCTAAAGAATGAATGGGTCAAAGAAATCATAGAAACAATCAACAATTTTATTCAAAAAGAATAACAAGAGACAACATTCCAAAATTTGTGGGATGCAGCTAAAGCAGTACTTAGG